TGTGGGCAGAACGGTCAATATATAATTTAATAAAGTATTTGTTTATTATACAAAAACTGTCTTTCATTTCCACAACAAAAAACGAAATGACTTTCCGAACAGCCCTTAGAATATCGATAGTTATCGATAATTATCGATGTATAACAGCTAAACTTACGAAAATATTCAACCAAGTTTTTTTTTATTGAGCGTTCAATTTCCTACAAAAAATGTCCCCCTCATCCTTGTATCTAAAGTAATTCGTTGTCGAGTTATAAAATTCCAAAAATAAAAGAGAAAAATTCCTATATTTTTTAAATGGAAAATAGAAAATTTCAAAATTCCACCACTAATTAAATATTAATATTAAGTACTCATATTTCAATGCCTGTGCCAATGTTCTTTGGAAGAAAAAAAACAAAATAGTCAAGTTATTTGAAATACCATATTGATATATCGGTAATTACGGATTCTTTTTAAATATTCTAATTAAAATATTTTAAATATTCTATTAAATAATGTTGATAGTTATCAGTTGCTAATATTTTTGTTGATATACGGCATATCGATAGTTATCGATGAATATCGGTAATTATCGATTTATCGATATTGTTGTCGATAACCGATAACTAAATCAGTTTCCCAAGACTAGACCAATGTGCGATGAGTGTTAAATAATTTTTTCCATAGTCCCCTGTTCTCCTAGTCTTTCTAATACCTCTTCATTTCTAACCTTTTCTATCTAGGGTATCCTCATCATTCGCCTGTAACACCTCATTTCAAACGATTGTAACCTTTTCTTTTCCGCCGCGCCCACTGTCCATGTTTAACACCCGTACAACGCCGCGCTCCAAACATACACCTTTAACAACCTTTTCCGAATTTCTAAATTAACTGTTCGCGACTATTATGTTTTACGATTAAACGTCTAATCAGCTATCCTGGTAAAAAAGTGGACACTGTAGCTGTTAGATTAATCACACCCTTTGCAAAATTCTAGGATAATATTTTCCTGTAATCCTATTTTAATAATTTTAATATATGTACATATAGACCCATTATCATTCATTTAATATTACAACTTCGTACATCTAACTGCAAACACATTAAGTAGTTATAATTATTTTTTTAGTGATAAATTAGTAAAATTGTTTAAAATACACGACAACATGAATATTGATGAACTTAGTTTCTTACATTTGGATGAAAGCCACACATATCCTGTGTTGCACGTTGAATTTTCTAAATCCGGAAAGATGTTAGCTACTTGTTCGTTAGATGGCTGCGCAATTGTATGGAACATGTCGGTAATTTATCACTATATATTTATAACACTTTGTATTTAACTTGTAAATCATTTTCTTGTACAACCGTATTTTCGAAGTGAAACTACTATCAGCCATGTGAAAACTGTATACTTAGTCCAGGCAATATGGGTGGGTGAGTGGCAAAAATTTTCTGATTAAATTTTTTTACGCAGTTTTGTTCGAATGATTCTTCTGATTACAACGATGTAGGTTGGTAGCCGGTAACCCGATCGAGTATTGTTTAAATCACGATTGTTTAAACAAATAGCAAGAAAACAACTTTTTTTGGCCGGAACATTTTTTTATATTCTTTGGTTTGATATTGATAAAAAAGGGGTGTTTTTTTTACAACCTACATCGTTGTATTCAGAAGAATTTTTCGAACAAAATTGCGTAAAAAAAATTAATCCAAAATTTTTCCTACCACCTGCCTATATTGCTTGTACTAATATGGATATTTATGTGTTTTTGCGACCAAATTGCTAACGCGGATATGATTGTACAAAATTGCTTTTTAAACCATCTAAATTATAGGTTATATATTGGATCACTTCGGTGCGGGTATTGTACAGAACTGCCTCGTGCGGTTCAGTTCAGTAATATAAAGCATACTACGAAGCGCTCAACCAGACAGAGTACAGAATTCAGTTGGCTTACTACTCTCTGCACAGGACGCCGCTTTATATTATTGAACTGAACCGCACGAGACAGTTCTGCGTAATACTTCGGAAACCTATCCCGCTCTCCTCTTCAACATAAAGCCCAGTATTTAGATAGCTCAATGAGCTGCATTCAACTCAGCTCATTTTTATTTCTCTATCGATGATTTCCATTAAAAAATAATTTATATCAAAAATTGGAGCAAGATAAGTTAGTCAAACGTTTATAGAAGTTTCACTTCAATCGGGTCCCTATTTGGACAAAATATAAATAATTTTTTCTTATATAACATATACAAGAAACCAATTGCACACTTAAAAGAATTTACGCACTTTATAATATACTGATTTTATTATGTATCAGTCAGGATTAAAAATTTTCGAAATACCTCAGAACAGTTTAGCTGTAAAAGATTGTCGATTTTCCGCCGATGAAACTATGCTAATAACAGTTGGTGATGATGAAAAGGCATATGTCTGGGATATTGTCTCAAAAAGCCTGATTGTGTAAGAAATTTTATCGAAGTTGGACAATGCTTTTTTCTAACTGTTGCTAGTTATTATAGAATGGTACAAGCGCATCTAGAATCCTTAACATCCACAAGTTTCACACCTGACGACAAGCTAATGGTCACGGTATGTACCAACGGTGAAATAAAATTATGGAATATATTAACAGGTACCAATATTTTTACCGAACTCTATGCCCATGATCTTGGGATCAATTTTTGCGATTTCTCCGAAAATATGGAACCAAATCCACTTGTCCAATCTAATGGAAAACAAAATTATCTTTTGGCCACGTGCGGAAACGACAGTCTAGTCAAGTTATGGTTAATAGCGTACTCCAAGGTATGCAATTTTGTGTAATTTTTAATTAACAAGAAAATGACCATATCGTCTAAACGTTTTCATTAATTCTAAACAGACTATTGTTTTACGTAAAAAACGTTTTTAATAAGGAATAACCGAATCCAAAGAATAAAAGCGAAACAATCTAGCTATTGTTAATTCAAAGTTAGTTAGGGGCCTGTCAGAAAAATTGATTGGAAATAATTTTCTGACTAAGCATTTTACAATAGTAAGGTGCGACACGTGAAGAGGGGAAAATAGTGAACGATAATTGAACCGTTATCTAAATTTTATCAAGAGAATAATGAAAAGGCGCTTATTTTTGAGCAGGAATCTTGTCTTGTTAAATAGTAGGTACACATAAAATCTAATGGTCTGATAGATGAGAGCAGGGCAGCCGCTAGAATTTTTCCTACTCTGTGCTCTGTGTACAAAGTAAACATTGTTTCGTCTCCTATTTGCTAATTTACCATGCCACTGTTATTAATTAATAATGAAAATCTGAGAGTTTGACAGAAATTAGAAAATTAAAAGCATCACCGTTGAGGACACGTCTGTCCATTATCAAAATCTGCAACAAGAAATTCTATAAAAAGATGAAACTGCTTTCTTATTTTTACGTTAATTTGTAAAAAAAAAATAAGATTTAGATGATATGGTTTTAGTACTTTGTTAAGTACTTTCTTTTTGTAAACAAAATGAACCTACAGCATTTTCAAGGATATGCATTTTGCTTTCCGAAGAACGAAACCCTCAGAATACAAATTCACAAGTGCATATTTCTAGGGGCTATAGCCCTTTTTATTCTATATTCAGAAGCTATCGAGTTTCTAATACCAGAAAAAGGAAATAGGGGAATTTCCCAGCTGCTCTATAACTAATGAATTACTTAAGTACTATGAAAAATGTTGTGTGAGAAAAATCGAATTAGGAAACGATGAGTTGTAATGGGGCCCTATTTGCGCCCCAAAATAGGGCACCTTAATTTTTTTAAATAAAGTTCTTATCAGTGCATAACATATCTACTTACAAATTATTTTTTTTTTACTTTTGCTCTAAATGAAACACAATGAAATTTTTGCAAAAAGTGCATAATTTTTAAGAATATCATATTATATCAACCCAATTTGGGGGACTATAAAATGTTATTCCACTATAATTTCCTTAGAATGGTATTCTATTATCGAGCTAGTAGCCTACTTACAGAAAATCTATTAAGTACATCTATGATTTATTTTTTTATCTATTTAGGTACGAAAATATGACCTTATCGATATTCGTCTTTTGTCCCTAAATAACTACACTATTTTCTACTGGATACGCCCCTGGTAGTACTGAGCTATATCAACAGCAGATGCTAATGCTTGATATTTCATTTTTTTTTTTTTAATGTTTGATTTCCTAACATTATTTTATACCTTAAAACTTCATAAATATGCTTATGAACCACTTAGCTCAACTTTATAGTGAATTTCAACCTTTACTAAGGACATAGCTAGGATTTCATTAAGAAAGGGCAGACATGTAATTTAGTAGTGCAGAAAAGTCTTCCGCAATCTGTCCAGAGCGTTATCAAATTATTAGCGATTACGAAGTAGAAGCGGATAATTCATTGTACGTCAAGGGCGGATCTATGATTTTAAGAAAGGGTTTCACATAAATTTCTGCCCTTTATCCTATAATCGAGACAATCCTCTAAAGATCTTTGATCAGCATTTGTTATTTATTTTTTTTGTATTAATTTTGAAATAATGAACTTAAACAAGATATATTACTACGAAAATTTGGCAAATTTAAAAAAAATATTTTTAAATTTAGAATTTTCTGATTCCAAAGGGAGAGCTCCTCGACTGGACCCGTTCCCCTCCACCCCCAGTGGTTCTGCCACTGTGAAACGCTAAATATTAGGATTATTTTTGGCAATTAATGACTTAAATTCTCTTAATAATTTCGAGTTTGAACTTTATCTCTCGGTTACCTCCTTGGTCGTCAAATTACAAAATATAATTCAACAATGTTAGAGCAGTTGGGACGAAACAATAATTAAATTTTTGTCGCATGTTATTTTTACCTAAACCCTTCAAATTCGATGAGGTTAGAAACTTATGCAGAATATATTTGTTCGGTGTCTACAGATAATCTATTAAATAAATTTAAATTTACTGTTTCAGGCGTCGGAATCGGTTACAGTTAAAAACTGGAGAACTTTAGTGGGACACGGTGGAAATGTTATGTGCGTTCGGTTTTCGCCAAAATTTTCCGAATTGGTTTGCTCTGGCGCAACCGACAAACAGCTGCGCGTGTGGTCAGTCTACAGCGGAACTTGTATTCAAGTTTTAAATCACGATTCAATAGTAACTTGCTGTTGCTTTAATTTCGACTGTTCATTTCTTGCCGGCGGCTGTTTGGACAAGACTTTGTGGCTTTGGAAATTACCGGAACATCTGGTGAGAGATGTGGTTATTTTTGCACTTTTTAGAATCAAACAGATAACAAAATATTAATCTAAGCAGTTGCATATCTTCTTTTTAACTTACGTAAGAACTATTAAGACTCCCTTCCATCCCCTTGTAAGAAAAAATAAGATATAATCAACCCATCTCCCCCCCCCCCTAAATCTTCTTACGTAATGAACGAATGCCCCCAAACTGAAAATCAGCGACTTATTAATTTTTCGCCTCCTATTTTTATACAGCGGAACCTCTATAACTCGAACATCAAGGGAGACGCCAGTTGTAGAGTTTTCGACTTATGGAAGATTTTGACTTTCCTTAAGTTCCTTAAGTGGTAATACTGTTTATTGTATACCTCTAAATTGTTTTCTAAGAAACAATGGTGTAGGTACTTACATTGTCGGCAAATCCTTAAAGTCGATAAGTTTGTTTTGTTCGAACTGTAGACGTAATAAGTTTCAAATTATCGAGTTGTAAAGGTTGTAAAATAAAACGTTGCTGTGTTCGAGATACAGAGGTCCAATTTAATTTTTCGAGTTATAGAGGGAAAATATGTACCAAAATGGCTTGCAGAGACTCACTGATTATTTCGACTAATAGTACTATTGTAGGGTTTTACTCGTGAAAGCTCTTTAAATTATTTTCTTTCACTATTAGTTAATTTAATACAAAATGTAATGGTCGTAGCGTATAAGTGTTTTATTTTATTTTAGACAGTTGAATTATCGTTTACACGAAAGATAGACATTCGTAAAAAAGACGTTGGTGAGTGGAATAACGATGATGTTTTGGAGTGGCTTACAGGAGCGGGACTCCAGTCGTTACTGTCAAAGGTAGCGAGTTTTAATATGGATGGAGGAAAGCTTTTGACCATGAAGGACGACACTATTTTCAACGAACTAGGCTTTGGTAAGAATTTATGATTTACAAATAAAAGTTGTATTGTAATATTGTTAGGCTAACAAAGAAAGACGGTGGAACCCGAGTAAAAATAAAAAGAATTATAACACCACCGAATCGCCTCCAAATATCTGAAATGACCTAAATTACCACCGAAATAGTTCCTACAAATTATTTTAAATTCTAAAATTATAGCCAAAATACTACCCCTTGAAACTCTAAAACAGCTCCAAACCAACGCCACGTTAAAAAAGATCCGAAAGGGGCCCTCAAACAGCGCCTCGCCAAAAAACACTATAATAGCACCAAAATAGCATCACATACAAAATCATCTAAAACACCACCAAAACGTACCGTATGTAAATAAATGAAAATATTCGTTAATTAATACCAATTTATNAGTGAAATTGAAAAGAATAATTTTTACTCGGGAAATCATCTTTTTTCTAGTTTTTCACCCAACTTTTTATTTGATGGTAACTTGTCTGATTTACTATAAGACTTGCATACACAAGTCTAAATGTAGCGCAAAAAAAGAAATTTCATGAAATTGTGAAATCTAGAGAAACAAATGCCTTCATTACAGGGAAAAATTGCGTCAAATAAAGAGTGAAACAGATTATAACTTCATATTTAAAAAAATCGATTACATACACGTGAGAATGTTAGTTAGTGAATCCTTCCAGCTTCCTTCTGATTCCATTTCAAAATAAACAAATAAATATATTTAATTCTAAATTAATGTTTAAAATATTGATAGTAAAAAAAGGAGTTCTTGTAAACAAATATTTATCAAAATTAATCTANTGCATTTCTGCCAATATGAATATTTAAAAAAGAAATCTAATATATTTTTGCAAATCCTTCGAAAACGATATGTGAACTATGATTTTTTTTGTTAAATTTATTTATTTTTTAACAAATATTTTGAAAATTGTGTAACTTGGGAAAAGGTTATTGTACTTGTTATTAAAAATAATATTTTATTGGTATGAAAAAATATCATATTTTTTAGCTTGTTTTATTACTACAAATGTTTATGTAAAAGAGGAAACGTCTGTTTCAATCAATTTTAAAGTAAAATTAGGAAAACGGTCAATGAAATTTTAACTGTAAAAATAATTTATAAATATTCAAGCACATAAGTATACATTAAATTAAATATTGTTATTTTCTGTTTGGAATTTTGTAAATTTTGCGACATTGTATTGAAAATATGACACTAATAAGCAAATGTTGATCGCACTTCTAAATCTAAATACCAAATTTTGTTCACAAAACATGCAGATAGTGGAAAGCAATTAGGAATTATTATAAATAATTATTACAAACATACGATCGGATTAAAAAGATCAAACGAGTTTTAATAAAGTTCAATTATATAGGTATGTTTTCACTGTAATTATGTAAAATTATTTATCAAACTTCTACAATTTAACATGCTAATTTGCATTTAATTACTGTCGTTAGTTGACTATTACTAAATAAAAAGCGGGTTTCAGTTGTAGTTAAAAATAGAAATGGGTTGGTTTTCAACATATTATTAAACAATTACTTTGTTTTTCATTTTTACTAATGTAAGTAATCGACCTAATATAACATATCTAGATATGCATATATCTATAAAGAGCACGCCATACAGGGTGGCCCAAAAAGTACGCAATATGCTCGTTGCGGCCAAACTGAAAGTTTAATCGAAAATTTTTTTAACAAAACTCCTTATTTTAATGCAATCTCGCCTGTATCATCCCAGTTTGATTTACTATATATATTTTTAACTAAAATAACTCCAACTGTCGGCCGCTTCCGGTTATACCGGAAGTTGATGTGCCAACTTTGTTATTTTAAATGGAATAGTATATTTTTTACGTCAAATTCGTATAAAACATAAAATATTAAGGTAATTTCGTTAACCAACTTGTATGCCCCCCAATGAATAGTTCTAAGATAATTTATTTATAGAAAAAAATTGCTATCGTAACGCAAATTATAACAACTCATATCTTCCACAAGACTTAGACTGTTGGAACTTTTACTTGTTGTAGACGAGGAAGAAGCAATTCAATTTAATAAGGAATTGAAGCGATTAAAAGAGGCCGAACGAACATTTCTGAATGGTTTTCGTAGTTCTGAATTACTTAATGTGCCTCATCGATTTTTCTGTCCAATAACACACGAAATTATGCGAGAACCCGTAGTTTGCGCTGATGGTTATACTTATGAGAAACAAGCTATCAACGAATGGTTTATGAGTGGAAGATACACCAGTCCAATGACCAATGAAACTCTACCTAACGCCGATTTTTATTTCAATAATGAACTACTGAACGAAATATTGGAATTCTTTAATGACAATGACTAGCCGACAAAACTTTAATGCGTTTCTATATTGTATAAAAAAAATCAATCAAATTTTACTACATATCTGTCTATCTGTGCATATTTATAATATTTTACAAAGCACATTCAATGAATTTTTTATACTGAAATATGATGCAATTATGTTGTGATAATCTGAAATATACCTAATAAAAAAAGTTTTTCATATTCATTAAAACATTTCCTTTTCCTGGAATTCATTAATTGCAATTGTAATTAAATATTTACTTATTAGTACTACTGTACTGTTGTTTCTATTAATTGTTTGTTTTGTTGTGAAAAATCCTTAATTCAGGCTATAATATTAAATTTTAACAATCAAACACTTGTGAGCGGTAAATGTCATTTAAGTTTAACGTGAGCCCATCTTTAGTCATTTTAGACCCCACGTCAACTTTTAAAAAAGGTAAAAAGGTAAAATATGAAAATTTTATAAACTTCCCTTAGGAGGTCAGTGCATAAAGACCGTGAATATTTCTCCGTGTCCAGTAAATAACATTGTTATAATTACAAATTTACAATTATTATATATCAATAATTTATATAAAAATTTGAAGTATATGTATAGTTATAAATGCACTAATAATATATTATAAAAGTTGGCTTTCAACCCCTTATCAGAAATAAAACAAAATCGAAATTTTCTCCTCTACTTAAATTATCAATAGCAATTAATTTTTCTAGAGTTGAATGGCTATAATAATAACTAGATAGTAGATATATCGTTAATTATATAAAATTTAAATAAGTCAACTATTAAAATCACAAGTATCTCGGTTAGTGAACGCAGAAAATTAATTACTTATTTACATTTACCAGCAAGTTTACGTTTTATAGATATCTATTAAGAAAAATAGTACACAACTACATTTACCGTAATAATATTGTACGTGTAATATCTAATACTTGTTACAATTAATTAGATATACAATTAGCTAAATTGTTATGGTTATAATTCATCTGTTAAAAGTAAAACGTACCTTATTATATCTTACCGAAAATAATTAAAACTGACCACCCGCACCACTAAGCACAAATTTCAAACAATTCTAACCTATAATGTCATAACCATTACCCTTTGTAGATCTATTATCTATGGTCATAACATGGTCATACCTGCGTTTCATGACGTCACAAACAACATTATTAACTCATTTATTTTCGTAATCGCAAAATGAAAATATCACACAAAAATTACCTAATTAATTTTGCCAATTAGAAGCCAATGTATATTTTATTAAGTGCTATCTATTAGCAGCAGTGAAATTAAATTAAAAAAAGCGTACAACTTAACGTGCATATGAAACTAATCAATTTCAAAATTAAAGTAAATCTTTTTCTTAACATTCTACTGACACCTTAAATTACCTACAAGTTTTTTGTCTTTTCCTGGCCAAATTAAAATAACTCGTAAAAAAAACGTATTTTTTATTTAACTGTTTTCATTAGAAAGATGGGAATTATACACAAGGAATTATTTTCCTTTCCATTATAAAGAAGAACGATACTGCTTTAACTATACTAAATTGGAGTAAAAAAATACTTCAAACTTGCAACAAACATTTTTCACTGAATGTGTAAATCATATGTTTAAAAGCTCATTAGAACAATGACAAATATAAACATTTATTCTAAGTGCTATTACTTATTTTAGTTGTCCTTTTTATTTTGAAACTTGTTTTTTGGCTTAAAACCACCACCTTGCATTGGCCTTTTGTTTCGGGGATTAAAACCACCTCCTTGTTTAGGTGCTCTGTTATTAGGATTGAATTTTTGATTTCCTTGATTTCCAAATTGCTTAAAGTTTCTGTTGGGACCTCCTTTTAAAGAGCTTTTCGGTTTTTGATGATAATGCCGCACATATATTTGTCTGCCATTTAAATGGGTATAGTGAAATGAAAGTGCTTTCTAAAAAAAATAAAATAAAATATGCATTGGATTAAATTTAATGCAATATGTACTCACATCGTAACTTTCTTTATCCTTCAATGTTATAATTGCAAAACCTCTTGATTTGTTTTCTTTTCTTTGTCTGGGAATAACAACTGAAACTATTCCTCCTGCTTTTGAAAAATACTCTTTTACTTCATCATCTGTAGTCTCAAAAGGTATATTACCAACAAAAATGGTAAAGTCATTTAATATTTCTTCTTTTTTGTCTGTTTGTACTTCTGCTTCCTTTTTCTCATTTGTTTTTATATTAATAGTTTGTTCTTTTTTTTCCTCCTGTTTGTTATCATCAGCACCATCATCATCTTCATCTTCATCCTCTTCATCATCATCATCATCATCTTCTTCCTCTTCGTCTTCTCCAGACTCTTCTGCAGAATCCACTTCACCTTCCACAGAATCTTCTTCATCCATCTCAGAATCTTCTTCACCTTCATGAGAATCTTCATCCTCTTCTTCACCATCTTCAGAATTATCCCCGCCCTCTACCGAATTTTCTTCCCATTCTTCTTCGGATTGATCTACTCCAGAATCTTTATTTTTGTTGTCTGCATCATCTTTTTTTGTAGGTTTAGTTTTCAACTGTTTTGGTTTCTCATTCTTTGCCTTAGGAATTATTTTACCTACAGGCTTTAATGCCTTTTGTTTGGAAATATCAATTTTATTAATTCCTGACTGTTTTTGAATTTTATCAGCTATGCTGTATAATTTTGACAACTTCCTTTTTGCAGTATTTGAGAGGTCATCAGCTGTTTGAATTTTATTAATTTGTTCTTGTATTTTAGTAAGTGCTTCTTCTGGCTGCACTTCTCCAGTTGCAGCATCCTTAACAAAATCTCGAAATTTTCTTTTGCTAAATGTCTTTTTAACTGGCACTGCTTTTTTTTCTGAATTCTTATTTGCATTTGGAGAAACAGAGGATGAATTCACATTCTTTTTCTTAGCTTGCTGTTTATTGTCTTTTACTTTTGGGGTATTTTTCTTAGGTGTATTTTTTTGCTCCTTTGCTTTATTAGGTGTTACAGGCTCAGTTTTAACTTTCTTTTGGGGTTTACCTGGAGAATTTGGACTAGCAAGAGACTTACGTTTTCCAGCCATCTCTGCAACTGATTCAACCATTATTTAATCTAAAAACTAAAGAAATTGTTCAGTTCACTTGTATTTCTATAAAAACAATTAATCGATTGCATGAAAGGCCAGGTCAGAATTGATTTCTACTATGTTACTCACATTTTGAAAACGTGGTTTTGGATATATTTTTTTTTGATAATTTTAAATCTCCAAAATCTCAAACACATAAAAAATCAACAGTATATACATCTTATTACTATTAAATAAGTTCTCTTTAATTAATTACAATGACTTACACGTATATTTTTAGTATTTCCTTAGAATGTGTAACTTCGCACCTCAACACGACGATGTTTAACGGGGAAAGAAAATGGCACTTACCGCATGGAACGAAATATTTCTCGATTTTTAGGGTTAAGAGCATAGATAATTTTTGCAGTGTCACCAATACAATGACCGGTTATTACTGTTTGCAATAAGAAAATTCTACCTTTTCTTAAATATATGTTTAAATTTGGTTGATTGCTAAATGAATATTAAATTTTTTAAATTTTGTTTGTTGGCGCCTATTATTAAATAGTTGCATAGTTCATTTATGATCATAGATAATAGATACACAAAGGGTAATGGTTTTTGATTTTCGGTATGTTCATAGATTAGAGATATATAATACTTATATGCATCGACATGTACTAATGGACATGCCTTAGCGGTCAGAATTGTGGTACAACAAAAGAAAGAGATGGAATGAAGTTTCGGACAATATCCATCTCTGTCACGATAGTGCGTAAGCGTGTCATGAAAGAGATTACATTAGTCCGAAACTATATGCCATCTTCCTCACTTTTGGAGCCAAGAAATTATTACAACGACATACGGCTAAGGCACGTCCATTAATATAGGTCTATACATTTTTTATCTATGTTTCTGGTCATAGATTTCTAAAACTAAATGGCTGTGTCTCCTGTATGGGCCTGTGCTTATAAATTATTTTTTATTATTTGAGTAGACTTGAATATTATTTATATTTCTTTTCGATTTCTAAAATTATTGCTAGGCTTGATGAAATCGCATCATGTAAATACTTTTTTTAAATTCATTTTAAATTATGCTCATCAGAGCATAATTACAATTTAAAATGCGGCGCAAGAATACCAATCATTCTGATTTTTTAAGTTTTATTCTTTTTAATCTTTACCTCTGATAAAAATATTGGAAGATTCTTTCTTACTACGAAGTTATTAAAGATTTCATGCAGGTAAACAACGTGTGCTTTCTTGACGCCACTTTGCGTTTAGTGGAGGGACAAGCGACGCACTGCGCATTTACGGGAATGTGAATTAAGTTCCTGTTTCTGCCTCATCGTAGATTTTGCTTAAACAAAAAAAAACAAACCCATGGTATTTAATAAACTAGGGAAATTAATTGTAAATGAATAATAAAAGTATCAAAAACTAAATTCCACTTTCGATTGAAATTACTTATTATTTCATCTATAAACTAGGCGGCAAGTGGCGTATTCCTGGCTTTTTGCAGTACAGTTTACAATTGGACCCAATGCTTTTTTAGCCGCTCTAGGCATTTAAACTTGTCTCTGACCCATTCCCATACATAAAATACATGGTGTTGTTGGATAGAAGTAATTAATTAAAGAAAATGAACAATTTATTTCGTTTATTGCTGCAGTAACTTTTTGTCTAGACCAAAAGAATATTTAATTAACTACTTTTTTTTATAACAATATCATTGCTACATACATAATTCAACAATTATATAATACTAAAACATTCGATCAAAAATTTGATCTCAATTCGCTTTAACTTTCTTATATGAAATTAAATTACAGGAAATTACGTAAATATAAGGGAACTTTAGTACTACAAGGTATACAATGCTTAAGTACAAAACAATTACTATTGTTAGTACGAGATCAAAGACGGCTGGCTTTACACTGAAAAAGAAAAAATAAAAGTACACTTTTTTGTTAATAAAATCAGATTAATTGGCTAATAGATTTATTAGTTACCTGTAAATGTTCATCATGCCTTTGGTGACATCATAAAACGTAAAGTCGGGGTCTCTTTTGTCAGGCTGTACGGTAGAAACTTTGATCTCTCTTAGGAAACGATTAAAAGCTTCTTGCAAAGAGTTAACTAAAATGTTGTCTTTATTACATAGTAGTTGTGGTGATCGTGGTTGGGAACTTAAATAACTAATCCAGGCTTCTAAATGACTCTTTTGTACACCCTAGAAGTAAACAGACAAAAACATTCTTTACAAAAACAAAACTATAATTGTTATTGATATATATAAAGGTGTGATTATTGATTCTATATTTCCATTATAACAAGCATGCATGAATGAATGAAGCAGAATTCTTAGTTAGGGATGAAATGATACCTTAAAGGTATCGATACTATCATTTGGTCGTTGTACAGAAAGATAGTGCTGATACCTCTTCGACAAATGGATATGTAGGTATCATTAAGTTCATGCAAAAAATAAATAAATTGCAACTTACTAATGAGCCTTTAAAAATGCTACCCTCTGAAAAATTATAAATATGCTTTGCAAGTGCTTCAGCTACCATGGTTGTATGTCTGACTAGTCTGTTAATGTCTATGTTATCCTGGATATCCAAGACTGAACTCCTCATCAAGTCTTTATGAGTTTTAAGAGTTGATAACGTGAATGAAGGTAATCTTCTAATGCTGTATCTTTCATGTTCCCATGCCAGCAAATCATCAGCTAGATTAATTTTCTTATGAACAATATTAATTGGTGTTGAGTTTGATTGGGGAGATTCTTTTAAGGCATTGAAAAATAAATTAGCGGAAGACCCCTCTTTTGGGGGTTTAGAAACGTGCATATAAATGGAATCAGAAGCTGCCAATGTATCTAAGCACATGACATACGCCGTTTCCTGTTGAAAAAAAAAATCGTTTCAGAAAATTCAAATGTTTGTAAGCAACTTTTATAACAGAATAATGCTATTTCTTTAGCAAAATTTAACTGAAATATAATGCTGAATATATCATAGCTAAAATACTTTTATATGTATGTATTCATGTAATACATACATACATATTTACCTGTAAAAAAGAACCATCAATTGAATCTAATTGATCTTCAAGCCATTTCTTGCTGCCTTGATAATTTATTTTTCCTCCTCCTGTTAGTAAAAATACAAGATTATATTTTCCTTGAGTTTTTGGATCGGAATATAATAAAGAAAATAATCTAACTAATTCTAGTAGAATTGCAACACCAGATGCATTGGAATCGGCTCCATAAGACAGCTCCTACAATTTATTTATTATTACTATTAATTTCTCAAATATAATGTTATTCATAAAATTACTGGAGCAACCCCAAAACTATCATAATGTGCAACAACAGCAATGGTGTTTGTTTTTTCACTCAAAGTACGACCTGTTAAAACTCCTTGGATTGTGCTGATTTTGACATTATGCTTTATATTTGGATTACCAGGATTTACTGCAATTTGATATCCATTGGCAGCAATAGAATTTACTAAGGCTTCAGCACCTGACTTTGTTTTGTCATTAGCTGTAAAACCACTAGAAAGGTCTTTAATTATTTTATCCAAGTTTGGAGAGTTTTCTGCAAAGTATACAGATATTGTAATTTCTTGAGCTAACATAGCATTTTCTAGTAGAAGAAGGTGCTGTAAAACAATTAATAGCTTTAGTTCAATGGCACTATTAAACTGTCTGACCACTATTGTTACCTGCTTCTCTTCACTTGAAAGTACTGAGAGTTTTTTTGGCAAAACTACTATAAGAGCACCAGCTTTTAAACGGATGTTGTGAAATTGTTCTATTGTTAAGTCTCCTAAACGTGTTATAATACAATGTCTAGATGTACTCCAACTTGAAATCGAACGTGCTTCTAAATTAATAAGAGTGTTTCTACAACCTATTATAATTGAAAATAAATTAAAAGGTTAAGTAACATGAATAGAGCCATTACTGTTCACAACTTACCGTGACCAACTCCATGTAAATCAAAATGCTGCATACGATAAACGGGAAACTCATAAGAAGCACTCACTGGATTCACCGGAGATACTATAATAAATATTGGTAAAACTAGCAATAAATAATAGGGCAAGTAGGTCTTTAAAATTTCATCTGCTTCCTCAAACCACATTATGTTAAATTAAACGTCTATTTAACTTAAAAAAACAACCTTTTCATTGAAACCTACTAAATTCAATTTCAATAATGAGCTCAAATGCTCGAATCCAAGTTCTAGGGTGTACACATGTCAACACATGCTTAGGTAAGCTGTCAAATGTCAATTTGTCAATAATAAATTTTTGCGCAACGCGCACGTGATTCAAATATTGGATTAAAATGTACAGGGTGAGCATTGGTAGACGGAATTGTATTTCTGTAAAAAAATGTGAATTATTTACTAAGCTCTTCGATTAGTTTTCTAGAGAAGAAATAAAATGCAGCACATGGTTTAAATCAGTGGTTTAATTGTATTATTTATTACAATTTAAAAATTAAAAATTGTTAGGCCCACACAATAAAAATATTTTTCAGCAACTTCTTTTAAGATTCACCGACACATTAAATTACATATTTCCTAGCACGTACTTAGTTGTAATTGAAAGATAATATAAAATAAAATAAATACTATAACGTATATAATAGTCATTTTGTGTTTCTTTATTAGAAAGCTCACCATGTATTACGTCATATGAAATCCATGATCTTTGGAGCTACCCCCAAAAGCTTTTATCATCATAAGGTTGTCAGTGCTAAGACTGGTAGGACACGCACCTCCACTCTTTCCTATTCTGAGTTAATTTTTGCATTTCTCTAAAACTAGAACATTCCAGATCCTTAACTATTTGCGAACACTATGCACTATGTTTCTGCTTTTAATATATCCCTGACTAGACCTTCGTGCCTGAGAAGGCATCCTACCAACCTATCTGACCTATTTTTTATTGGCTTCCATAGAGTCCTCTGTTCTCCTATTCTTTCTAATACCTCTTCATTTCTACCCTTCTCTACCCACGGTATCTTTATCATTCGCCTGTAACACCATATTTCGAACGTTTCTTACCTTTTCTTTTCCTCCGCGACCACTGTCCATGTTTCGCACCCGTAAAGTACCGCGCTCCAAACATACACCTTTAACAAACTTTTTCGAATTTCTAAATTAACCGTTCACGAACACAAAAGTGACTTATTTTTTTTGAAGGCGACTCGACCCTAATACGCTATCCTCTGCTTTATATTCCTGCTACTCCTTCTGTCCTGACTTATCTGATTTAGATACTTAAAATCAGCCACTTTTTTTAATTTTGCGACTTTCCCTACTTTTTTTTCCCTTGCATACCAAAATGTTTGTTTGCTTGAAGAAAAGATGATGTCCCCCTTTGACGACAGCATATAAATATCCCTATGTTATGTTCTCAATTCGCCACTATACATATACTTAGTGTACTTTAAGGGAGCCGTGGGTAATCGATATATTGGTTTTATCACATCCAACTTCTTCTTGTATTACTTTATTATATATATGAACAGATGGCTCAATGTATTTGTGCGATTTTTCCTACACCACGTCGTATTTTTTAAATTATGATGCTACTCTTTGATAATTGAGGCATGTAAAAGAATATTCCATGTGGGGATGTTTTGTTCTCATTTCTCGCCACTAGTGGTATAATAATTCAATGTGAATGAAAAATTGTCACCTTTCAATACAGCAAGTATTAGATACTTTTTAATTTTTCTATTTCACGCCTATGAGGATTTTCTTTTCACTGAGTTGTAGAGGAATCATAAATGTTGAATGTTGTGTTAAATTTACTTCTGACGCACTTGGCTTTGCAGTGTCAGAGCAAATGTCTTTATGTTTTTATTTTTTTAATTTACTTAATAATTTGATACATTGCGCAGATGTGAAATAAGAGGGATTCCTTTGGAAATATTTAGACTAGTTGTTGATGCCTTGTTTTGTAGATAAAGAAAATGTTTTTATCATGTATGCTATTTAGTTTCCTGTAATAAAATACATGTATATCAAATCTCATGAATAATAAATAGTAATTAAAGTTCAAGAGTTCACTTATTGTTAGTGAGCATGCAGCGTGAACTCAGGAATAGCTTCGTTTTTCTTTTTTTTTTGTGACGTTCCAAATATAAATTGTTAAAAGTAATCGTGGTAATTAAAAGGCCAATAAAATTTTGTCAATTTTTTATTTTTAAGCGATTAACAAAATTACGATAAAAGAGAAAATGAAGAAAATTTTTAAAAAATGGTGACCATAAAATAATGACGTATAAAAATTGACTTCAATTGCATTCACAAACTAAAAAGATCTGACCGAAATAACGAGATTGCGTTAATTTCTTTAACTGTTATTATAACGTCCTCTAATGTTCAACCTTTCGAGATTGAACATTTATCTCAAATGTAAATGGGACTACCTTTGAGAAATAACCTATCCAAAAAAAAAGATTCATTAAAGTTGGTTAGCAATTGAGGAAGAAATACTATAAACAATCAGAAATAAGCTAGTTTAATATATAATATAATCTTTACAATATTTCTGTTTTACTTTTACTCAACTTCAACTTGTATCTCTATCTTTTTAACATGGAGTCTTGGACTCCTTTCTACTTCACAGTAGGGATGAATAGTTCATAGAAACATAAAAAAACAACAAAAGCAAATTACGAACAATTTTTTGAGTCTACAAATTTCAATTGAATATTCAATGCTATATTTATGATTATTGTAGTATTTTATTTCAAACAATAATAATTATATAAACATAAATACAGATGCAGTATTCCACTTTTAATATTAATTTAATTGATGCTTGAACAGTATCTATTTAATTTTTAAATTAAAAAAGTTACTTTTATGAAAACAAGAGGTCCGGGTCTACGGACTATACTCCCTCTGTCTCCCAATCTAAATACATAAATTACATAAAAATTGTGTCATTATTATTGTGTCAAAATAATCATTTGTTTCAAAAAATAACGCTTGAAGTTGCAAATGTCTATAGATTTTTTGACAGGTCCTTGTACTCAGTTATGCACATTTATAAATAAGTAAAAAAATTGTTATTATATATGTGTACGTGTATTTGTATACGAATGCATGTGCATGTGTACGAGTACTTTACCCTTTAATAAATGAACCCACTAACACATGTGTTTATGTGAATAGATCCTTTCTTTTGAATCTTGACATTAGGTACCGTATGTAATAGTATACGTTACATGTCTTTCTACACATGTAGCATACTAAATAATTTATTTGTTGTGTGTTCATCAACCACCCATCATATTATTAGTAAGACTGCACAAATGTACTGTTAGTTGTCACATCGCCTCGATTCATTATCCTCAGTTTTCGGTTATACGTGGTGTCACTACCCTCAACCAAACTATTTTTGTTATTAAAAGTATAGCGAATAAGTATACGTAGAAATTGCGGTGATGGACAATTTTAGTGATTATTTTAATTCAACTCTTTTGTCTGATGTTCATCAAGACGAAAAGTTCGTTGATACGTGGATTATAGTAGTTTTTTTTATTTTCCTGACCATTGGGATGTGTTTGAATTTGGTAGTTTTCTTGGTACTTTTACAAACCAAACGTAATGGTACGTCTTATTATTAATTTTAGAATTTAGAACGTATTTTTTTTAGAAACTAATTAATCAATAATANAACTTGTTTCAAAAAAGCGTAAACCTGAACAAAATTCAGTTTAAAGATATGAAACAGAAAGTATACCAAAAAAATATCAGTTCAGCCAAATAATACTTAGGCTACTCATCATTCCTCATATTAGAAACTTTTTTCATAAGGTTTGTGAATACTTTTTGGGTGTTTCGTTGAACACTGTGAACTATGCGATATGGCAACGTTGAATTTCTATATTTCCGAATGACAACGAACGTCAAAGTCAAACGACAAATTCAAATAATTTAGAAAAAAACGTTGGTCACGCCTGCGAAATGGATGTTAGTTGGTGATCTAAATGTTTGTAGATTATAGATAAGAGAGTTGGAGTGCATATAATAATAAAATGTTTTTAGTTTTTACGTAGCAAGTCGGTTTTTTCTGTTTACTTTTTATTCCCTTTTTTGAAAAAAGGGAATTAATGATATATAAGTGTAATTGATTAATTTATCAAAGTTTAAAGTTTAAAGTTTACAATGACTTGTCAGAGTATATTCAGTTATGAAACATGGGTTCATGCTACTGCTGGCTCTTTAGTAAGTTGTTTATATATATACATATATATGTATGTCATCTACAGATTCTTATTAGAATAATATTCGATTCAAATCCGGCATTTGCTCTTTTATGCATTTTTTTCTCAAATTCGGAGCTATGCAAATTGGAATATCAAAAATATGTTGTTTTATTATGCGACTTTTATCCATTCATGGGCAACTAACCGTGTCAAAAGATAAGGAAAATCAGAGAATTTTGGGTATATTAGTTTCATATTCGTAATTATTTTTTACTGACCTCTTTTAACACAAGAATGCAAGAATAAATATTGTCAATTAGACAATGGGGTAACATCAAAATTAAGTGTAGGCTGTAAAGTAGAAGTGATCTTCCTAAAGGATAAAGTCGGTTGCACCCTGTCCATTTTCAACGGATCTAATTGTACATACATTTCCCTTACTTACTGTATTGACATGTTAATTTTTAAAGGAACTTTAATGAACAAAGATGCTAAATTTTTCATTCAATTAAAGTTCTTTCACCCAACAAACACATTAATGTTCTTGTTATATGCATTTAAGTACGACGTTTTTAATGATTGTCATTTTAGGAATTCTATCGACGGTTTTGCAACTGGCTGGGATTGACGTAATAACAACGTATGTTGCCGTTATGGAAATATGGGCTTTAAACCATCATTCTTGGTGTTTCTCGGAGAATATATGCCCAATTTTTCTGGGAAGCGAAATACTGTTTAACACTCTCATTCTGTACCTTACTATTTGCATCAACTTTCATGTAATCTCAAAATCAAATTTACACGAATTCGAAATGCAAAACTCTATTAAAAATCCGTTAACTGCCAATAATGACGATGACGATGATAGTAGCAAGAGTTTAATAGGGCGAACGAGCAATCAAAAATCGTACCGGAATATCACCATAAATTATCAGAATAAGAAATCCTCTATTTCCGTAATTTTTCCTTCGGTATTGTTGTGGTTCATTTGTTTATCTATTAGTATTCCTGAATTTAGTTTGTCATCGGCTGTTAAACTTAAAAATCATTTTACAATGTGTACCGTCGTCGATATTTATTTCAACAAGTTAATGCAACATTTGCTGGTCGTATTCAGAATACTGATACCATTACCATTGCTGTTGTTGTTAATGATAACAGTAGCAGCTATGTACTTAAGAAGCAAAAAAGTAGACGATGACACAGGGAAAAATATTTTGGATAAGAAAACGGAAAATATCAAGTCCATTTTGGTGTTTTCGTTTATTTTAAGTGCCATTGGCGTTATCAGTTCCTTTCCCAGGCAGTTTATTTCTGTTATGCATTTAATGAATCAGAAGTTCGAAAATGACAATATCGTTGGTTTTAAAATGGTCCCTTTAGAAAATGTATTTACTTCTTATCTTATTATTACGATAATTGGAATTATTTATTATTCTGCTGGTACTTTTAGGGGTATATTATATGTCGTAATGTTACCGGAAATGAAAAATGTATTGAGATATAAAATAACCTTCTGCAATAATCGCAACAATAATAAAAATTCAATTTAAATAAATTACGAACCCATTTTATTTTATTTTTTATTGTTCGGTAGGTATTTTTCTTGAGTGGTATTGTTTTAGTACCTCGATCCAGTTATGTGCAGATTATCAGGGGCGGATCTACTCAAGGGCTTTTGCGAATGTCACCCAGGGCTCCGTGAATTCAAAACGTCAGCACTCTCCATTGAAAATAATGGACAATATAGTAAAGAAAATAAATATCTTAAATTAAATCCCATCATAAGGTTGGCAACCCTTCGATTAATTTAACTGTATCGAACGAAATCGCTTGATTTCGGTCGGTGTATTTTCTCGCGTATGCGTCTATTACGGGGGACTTCTCGCTGCTTATCACCGTCATTTTGTTTTTTTTTTCTCCCTTGTGTTCCCGTCGTCAAAGCAACAAATTGACTTTATTGTTAGAACTGATTTTAGTGATATCGCCAAATTTAATAAAAATTCTCTATCATCTTCCAAATAATTGGATGAGAAAACTTTCTGAGTTTTAAAGTTTGTTTAAATTGAAGAGTATTCGCTATTACTTGCACAGATATGATATGAGAATATATATTTTCGAAACAATCCTGTGCGAATGGTTTAGGTTGAGAAGCGAACACAACTTTGTACAGGTTTCCAAATATTTTTGTTGTCACATGTTGCAAATTTAAAAATATATCCAAAAGTAGCTTTACTGATAAATCATGCTGTTGTCAATTACGAATATAACGAACAATTATTGTATGCATGTGTCAGATATGCTGAGGTACAGCACAAATTATAAATATTTGAAGCGAGAATTTAGACAATCGTATTGGACTTTAAGACATCTCAGTTTTTAAATTATCTTGTAATTTTGTTTAAATAAAGTTTTTCTGATTTTGAGAAACGGTTTTTAACTTTAAACAAAAATAACTTGTGTTACATTTAGTCGAACCTAGGATAAACATGGCCGCCGTATGCGCGCACCAATCACAGCGATGACCGCCCATGGCCACACTTTTGTTATTAAGTGACTGCCAAAAATATTTGATAGACATAAATGCGCTATTTGACTTAAAGCGTCTTCAGACATTTTATAGTCTATATTTACTATTTTTTTTTTTACATTAAATTGAAGACGTATAGATAGAGATATGCCTCTACAATTCTTCCGGCTTTGAACTGGCCCGTTTGCGTCTTTACAAAATGTCGGGTATTTGTTGTACTCCAAAAAAGCGTAAACCTTAAAGATATGAAACAGAAAGTATACCAAAAAAATATTAGTTCAGCCTAATAATATTTAGGCTACTCATCATTCCTCATATTAGAAACTTTTTTCATAAGGTTTGTGAATACTTTTTGGGTGTTTCGTTGAACACTGTGAACTATGCGATATGGCAACGTTGAATTTCTATATTTCCGAATGACAACGAACGTCAAAGTCAAACGACAAATTCAAATAATTTAGAAAAAAACGTTGGTCACGCCTGCGAAATGGATGTTAGTTGGTGATCTAAATGTTTGTAGATTATAGATAAGACAGTTGGAGTGCATATAATAATAAAATGTTTTTAGTTTTTACGTAGCAAGTCGGTTTTTTCTGTTTACTTTTTATTCCCTTTTTTGAAAAAAGGGAATTAATGATATATAAGTGTAATTGATTAATTTATCAAAGTTTAAAGTTTAAAGTTTACAATGACTTGTCAGAGTATATTCAGTTATGAAACATGGGTTCATGCTACTGCTGGCTCTTTAGTAAGTTGTTAATGTATATATATTACATATATACATACTAGTTTTTTTATCACATACTGTCCTTTCTTAATTTTAGGGGAGTATGATAGCTATGGCGACTTTTTATCCATTGGATACTATTCGTTTTCGACAGCAGTGTAAGACTGGTTTTGTTTTCTTTGAAATGAAAGTTTATTAAGCTACTTATTTTACAGTAGCTGATTCTTCCCTAAAGAATGAGAGTGTTGTTTCCTCATTACTACAAATTCTTCAAAGTGAAGGAATGTAAGCGTTGATCCAGGACTGATCACAAGGAATCAGACATGGTGCATTTTAATAAAATATGATTTTTAGAATTGCTCTCTATCAGGGGTTAAAGCCAGTGTTGATAAGTTTAGGAGTATCAAATTTTGTTTATTTCTACACATTCCATGGTTTGAAAAAGATATTTAAAGAATCAGCAAAAAATGACTTATCATTAAGTTTTGTTGCTGGTGTGATAAATGTGCTATTTACAACTCCTCTTTGGGTTGTAAATAGTCGTTTGAAAGTATGTTTCCTATATATCAGCATCAGCTTTTAATTCAAGTGTAATATGATTTGTTTTGTGTTATAGGTGTCTCATCCCCCGTATTATTCCAATCTTATAGATGGATTGATATATATAGCAAATTCTGAAGGACTAAAGGCACTTTGGTCTGGTTTAGGACCTTCTTTGATTTTAGTTCTCAATCCAGCTTTGCAATTTACAATATATGAAGCATTGAAACGAAAAATATCTGCCAATTCAGCAGGTGCTTATTTTCTAATCGGTGCTTGTGCCAAAGTTATAGCTACAGTATTGACATACCCTTTACAATTAGCACAGACAAGACAAAGGTATGGCAAAGGGAATAAGATTGGAATGGTTGCACTTTTGTTTTCAATTTTAAAACGAAATGGACCACTGGCACTATTCAACGGTTTGGAAGCTAAGCTTACACAAACTGTTTTAACAGCAGCTTTGATGTTTATGTGCTATGAAAAAATTGTTTTTTATGTTTTTCGCATTTTATTAAGAGGCACAAACACCAAAAAATTAGTATAATTGCTTTGCTTGTAGTTCCTGGTGTCAGTATTTTTTCACGTTATTTTATGTGATGTTGTTTTGAATATGTTGGTTCCTTTTTTATGTATGGCTTTAATAGTTTATAATAATAAAGTGGTTACATGCTTGTATTTGTGCCTTTTTTGTGTATAATTTGTTGCTTGAAACATTCAGCTCTATATTTATAATTATCAAATATTTGGATGGATTAATTTAGATAATCATTGTAAATTGTGTTCAACATATGAAGTGAAATGCATGTTATGTGATTTTATAAGTATAAAATAAACAAAATGTGTAGTTTCTAAAATACTAAAAAAGAAAATAAACTGTTTTTTTAATCATGGGGTCAATGTTTTAATTTGATATGTATTTACATTACGAAAATAGCTACAAAAACAGGAAATTTACAAACAATGAATAATTAAAAAGACTACTACTAACATCAGTTTATACCGCTATTAAGGCCTTCATAAAATTGATACGTGTAGTTTATTCAAATGTTAATAGTTGATTAATGCGTTAATTCAATTTTTATTAAAATACTGATCTATCGGAATTGTCTAGAAGTTGACTGATGTATTATATTGCCTTCGTTAGATGTCTCTAGGTACACTAAAAGCGTTTAATTCATTTATATACTGAGTATTCTGCACACGATTCCTTACTGTTTAATTTTTATTTTTAATCATAAAACTGAAAATCAAATGTTTTTGTTTGTTATAATTCGAATAATCAGGCAGTACTTATCATAAGTTTTATTTAATCAGTTGATAAAGCGCTGTGTATTAGAACATTAGTACTAGATTAAATTCGTTTGAAACATACAATTAACTTATTTCGGTGTAATATAAAATATTTAAAATACCCATTAGACTGAAAAACTAGAAATGAAAACAATTGTAAAGAACAGTTATGCATGTGTATATAGGGAAAGATGGCTTATTAATTTATACCACTTTTGCTATGTTATTTAATATTTCTTTCAAAGTAAGTAATATTTATGTTTTGTGATACTTCGAAATATTCGCAGAGATAGGTATTTTACAGTAGCGTTTTAAATTCAAACTAATGATTATTGCTAATAATCTAGTTATTGTGAGCTTCTGAGAGAATAACAATTATGTTTTTAACCAAAAGATGGTGACAGATGTTTTAAAATAAGAAAAATTAAAGAGCTAAGATTTAGGAGCCAGTACACAATAGGCTACTTTCCCCTATTTCTAAACTAGGCGAACTAACAAACAAACACATCTACAATTTGTCACATTTATTTCTATAAGTATATTAATTACCGCGTTACTGAGCATAAAAGATAAGTTACTTTAAATAATACTTTTACTTTTGTTAATCGGTTAGGACAGATGTTATTATTTTTGCCTTAAGTAATGAATATAAAAATGAAAAAAATGTAGTAGGTATATAATTTTACGTCTTGTATGGTTGATGATATATTTTATTTGGTAGTGGCTTGTGATGCTGCAGGATCTGGAGGACGCTCAAGTACCACAGGTTCTCTTACGACAGATAACAACTTGTCCAATTTCATTATTTGTAGTGTTGTTTGATCTAAGTGTTGCATTTTTTTGGGTGGCTTGCAAGGAACTCTTAAATTAGGTGATAATTTGAGAGCCGTTATCATTCCTCTGGAAAAGTTAAATTTGTTACAATTTGTCTATTTCTGAGTTTAAAAAAAAAGGAAAGACCTTCTGTTAGCTGTAAGATTAGTCAAGCTTCTGTAGTGATAAATCTGTGTCTATATATAATCAAAGGATTTCATTATAATATAATAGTATATTTAGTCATTATAATAACAAAACAACAAGTTTATGTAATAAGAACGTTTACTTTAAGTTTTTGTCTAATGCATGAAAAACTTCATTAGCAGCAAATACCCCCTAGATGGCGATATAATGCCTGTACGTGGGCATTATAATGCAACGAACTGTACACCATTTCACATTACCTAATATGTTATCTTTCCTTATCTGATAAAATTCCAGCAAAAGTAGAAGACAATTGTGAATTTCACTATTTTATTAATTTTATTTAACAGTACCTATTGTTTCGCTGCATGTTTGTTTTTCAGTTTTATAGTGAGCTTAAATTAACTGGCTTATATTCGATTTGGAGTTTACCTATGTTGACCTAAGTTTATCTGAATCTTCCTGGGATTATATATACAAAAGCTTGGGCTGAAATGTATCATATACCAAAAATAATCTTTCACTATTCTGCTGTCTTCATTTCATCTACCTCATCTACTCCTCCCCAATCATCCTCCAATCTACTCTGCCATTCCTAAACTAACGCGAAAGAGCCCCTTCCTCTCTAGCTTCCGGCTTTGCCCTAGAGCCCACCAACATTAGTTGCTGAAGCAAATGAACTATATAAAAGTTTTTCTGTATAGTTTAAGTTTACTTTAAAATTTCTGACATGTTAGGGGAAATTAATGAAATAGTGAAATTCACAAGTACCTGTCTTATTTTGTTGTCGTATTAATATTACCTTTGGGTAACAGCGATATACTTACTTTTCGTCTCCTACCAATATAATCGGGAAGCGCTGATTAAAACGAATCCTAGTGAGTTTATTTTTCTTTTTGGAAACAACAGCTTGAATACATATAGGTTTGTATTTGCTGATGTTTAGGTCGAACACCGACAGTTTTCCATCAATCGTACCAGCGGCTAGAACAGTTGAGGAGTACGGTGCCCATTTTACGTCACCAACAAAGGCCCCCAAGTCAAATACGTACAGGGGTTCACTTGCAATTAAAAGAAGCTTTATAAGTATTTGTACCTAATAGAAAATCGCACATGTAATATTAAAATTTTTTAACCACCTCTCAAAAGTTTTAAATTGTAATTAGTAGATGTTCTATGTCCTATTCTTAACTGGTCACACGGATACAGTATTTTGATACGAGGAAGCAACCCATATGTATCTGATTGCTTATTAACTTGCATTGATTGAAAATTACCAGAAAGAACTAATTGTAAACAAATTAAAACGAAAAGATAATATCATTGGTAGGGAGCTGAAGTTGTTTGTATATATAAGGTCCATAGATAGGGCCATCGAGCGGCATGGCCTAGAGGTCTAGACCGTTGCTTAGCATTCGGGAGGACGCCGGTTCGATTCCGGGTCCGTCTGCCTTGGTCCAAGTTTTTCTGTGGTTTCCTTGGATCACTTAGGCAAATGCTGAGGCAGCAATATTCCACAGATAATCTTTCACTCTCTTCTGTCTTCATTTCGTCCGTCTCATCTTTCTCACCCGAACCACAACCCACCCATTCCCACGATTCCTGAAAGCAGGCTGAAGAGGGCCTTCCGCCCTACCTTCCGGCATAGTCCGGAGGGACTGCCCGCCCACCAGCATTACTGGCTGGTGGGAATGAAACACCCAAAAGTTTTTTTTTTTTTAGGCCATCGATGAAAATTTTATCAGTCAACGGAGACTACTCATTAGTTTTTGTAATAGATACATGAAAGCGACTGGAAAGTGTTTTCTGTTACTGTGTTATTGTAATCATACATCTCCTTTGTCTCTGCTATTGTTTCATGTACAGCCAATCAGAAGCACCATTTAAGGCATAGAGGGAAAAAGGGGTGAGATTTACACAGCTGCGTGGGGCATACTCTATTCTGTTATCTTTATGATTGCACTACTACTAGTAACACAGTGAACATAGTAGCAACCGCGTTGTATTTCTTTCATGTTTTTGTACTTATATTTGTTTGTTATTTGTTAGATTAGATTAATTGTAATTGACAACATTTATGTTTGCAGCCAGCCTTTCTCTTTGCTCGTTTAAGGTTGCAGGCTTGGAGTACGTATGTATGTAGACAGTCGAAGTCATTAGAAGTAGGTTAATGTGTCAGTGTCACAGGTCAGTGCGGAATAGTATTATTGCATTGGCCAGTGCGTCAGTTTCTAGACAAACATTTTCCTAGGTGCTGAAATGGATGCACGGGTCTTGTACCATGGCCGACGCGTTCCGTTTGACTTCTTTGCATGGGGTGTATGAAACAGAGCGTGTATCAAATACCTGCGCAGAACGTTAAGGATTTGCACGACCGTGCATGATCGCTGCAAATGAAGTACGTCAATGCCAGTCGTTTTTGCGCGACTCAGACCCTTTCTTAGAGTTGTCAAAAGTAATTATCGTGATATATTGTACTTACTGCCTATTATCTTCCCATATTTTTACTCTCCAGTCGGCACTTCCTGATACGAAAATGTTGCTATTAAAGTAATTGTAGTCCATGCGGTACACGGCCAAGGAATGTGCGCGATAGGTGAAAAGATAGGTAGCACTGTATGAAGTGCTACATTTATAAATAAGACCTTCTTCAGTACCCACCAAGAAAACATCACGATTTGACGGATGAAATTTAATACAAGAAGGCGTGCCTAAATTAGAAGAAATGCTTAATTAATACAATGCAAAATGAGACTAAAACAAACAAAACTTTTGGTTTTTTAATTATCAGTGGTTAAAGCTTAGAAGGCAATTCATTAATTCCTTCTTTTTTTTTTTAATGAACTTTGAGGTTTATGAGACATGTCTAGTTGGTAATTGGTTGAAATTCATTTCTTCAGTAGTCAAATTTCAACTATTTTGTTTTTTTGTAATTCGGAAGTGTTTTTCTTACTTTTTAAAATAACTTGTGTTCCATCAGGGCCCCTTAAGGGTTCCTTATCCATACACAGAGTTATTATTGTGGTCACGGACATTTCTGTTTGAAGAAGGATCCAATGATTGACATTTCCATCGGCACCAATAGAGTAATAATTGAGCTCACCGTCTGGTAAATCTGGTCTCCAGGTAACCTAGTAAAGTACTATTCATTAAATATTAACCAAAATACTCATTTATACTATTTATTCATGATTTGGCTTGAAGCAGTGTAAAGAGTGAAATTTTGCGTTACTTTGAAAATTGATTATTAATTAGCCGGTATTATGAATTATTTCCTTCGATATTGTAAAAACTAGTGTCCGACCGAAAGTTCGGTTTCGGTTTCGGTCGAGTTTCGGCAAAAAAACGAGTTTCGGTTTAGTTTCGGTTTCGGCGGCGAACCTGCCGAAACTACGACCGAAACCGAAACTGCGTTGGGGAGTTCTCGCGCTCTGCTCGGTCATGTTCGGCGCGTTAAATTCCATCCAAGCGAAGTATTTTAAGTATTTTTAAGGCGCAATTAAAGTATTTCCTTAAATGAGGGGTTGTTATGTTGATTTTGATTTGATTATCAATAAGTGAAAATGTCAAAGACTGCAGAGCTATGTGATTTAAAGATAAAAAATAAAACTGACTGATTATAATAACGTTTTCTTTATTTTTCTCTCAAAACATGATCCTTATAAGGAAGTTTCGGTTTCGGTTTCGGCCGAAACTGAGACCGTTGCCGAAATTCGGTTTCCGTTTCGGTTTCGGTCGTAAAAACCAGTTTCGGTCGGACACTAGTAAAAACACATTTTCAACAAAATACAATACATGTCTTCTTACGACGCCCTTTCATATCATACAAACTAAAATTGGCTTGAATCACTTTAAAAAGCAAAATTTTGCTCATCCAAATTTCGGAAATGGATAAAGGAGCTGAAAGTATGAATATGTTCTTCGATTTTCCCGAAACACATTTTTGCCATTTCTTTTGGTTTTGAAAAACACATTTTCACCAAAACACAATGCGTGTCACATTATGACGCCTTGTCGCGCTTTTTTTATATCATACAAAATTAAAATTGATTTGAACACAGTGGTGGATCTTGAACATTTGCAGCTCCATGCATAAAATCTTTTGGGGGTTCCTAAATAAATAAATTAAAAGTCAAACTATATAGTTCCTAAATAACCCGTGATCGTAAAATTTTTACAAGAAATATATGAGTGGAATGTAGGACCACTTGCTGGGCGCCATGAGCTCGACAAAGTGTCTAATTTACGTCACTTTGGATTCGCTTCTGTAAATTTAAAGACGTTCAAACTGAAAACGAGTATACTGCCGTCTGTTTTAAATAGTGAGAACGGGCTGTTACTGACTGCTGCTAAATTGGTACCGAAGTTAGAAATTCTCCATTAATGAGGAAGTAATTTTCTTTTACCGTAAGAACCGAAAATCTCCCCCCCCCATCATTGTAAACAACCGCCCAATCAGATGAAGCCATTCCGTCACATACCTCGGCGTCATCTTTAACAGAAAGTTCACTTGACCAAAATACATCCCAGCCACACGTTCCAAGGTCCTATACACTTTCATCTCCCTTAAACCCTTGCGTTCAACGCAATAATTAAGAGCATCTGCTCCCACGTCATTCCCATCTGGTGCTGTACCCATCCTCACCACCTAATTCTTCGTTTCTCACTCGACTACCCCTGGTTTGTCAGAAACGCCTAAATTCTGAAAGAAATTGGTCTACCTTAACTCCCCGAGGTTGCAATCAAATTCGCGGCAAATCTCCGGATCTCAGCGCCAGGTCACCCAAACTCGTCCATCTCGACACTTTCCAACTTCGTCCATTAAACAAACGACTGTTTCAGAAGGCCTTGTCACCTTCTACTCTGAGCTGCTTCCATTCCCGCGCATTTCCAGTTCCGCTTCTTTAGCGTGAGTGCTCACCCAATTTTTCCGAGGTAGGCCACCGATTTCAATTTCATTCACCCTTCCCCCCTAAATTATTCCTCTCCTACACTCAAACTCCTTCCCGGTCTCAACCTTTTCCACAGTACCTTCTCTGGGAGTGGCATTTAAAATTTTATTTACCCTCGACCTCAATACTCTATAACGTTGTATTTCACGGTCTAGCACAACAAGGTTCACTTCAGTTATAAAATATCAGAGTTTAATCTAAGTATATATATCATCAAACAGGAATATGTTTTTTCCTGAAATTTGAAAGAAAAACTTACATCCCAAACTATTCCACGGTGTTTCTGAGTAACTTCGTCGCTTTTGTAGGCTGGCGTTTTACAAGACGCCTGTATGTTGTACACTATCGTATTCCCGTCGTACAATCCGATGACTATCATGTAAGGATGGTCAGGATGATTGTCCACCGTCATAACGGCCGACTGGGTTTGGCATATGTATTCAGGATATGATGGATTTTTGAGACTGTACAAGCACAAATAGCCCGTGTCTAGTGGTTTCATATGGTCGACTATTGAAATTAAATAAGTTTTTCAACAATAAAAAAAAAAAAAACTAATGAGCTTATTTATTATTTTTAAAGAAGTGGTTTTGAAGTGCTTTACTGAATCAAGTTATTGTTACGTACAATATCCCAAAGATGCCGCAACTAGATCATAATACCATGGACTCCACTGTAAGTCAGTAACTGAATGCTTTCGAGTTTTCTCATAAGTAAATTTCCACAACGGTAGTAGAGTTCCTTCTTCTTCTCTGTATTGATCTGATGGATCATCCCAATATTTATAATCTGAAACAAACAACCGTGTATGTATTTATCTGTGCCACAACAGAGAATACCATTTAAGAAGAGAATCTTGATAATTGTTTTAAGGGATGCCTGTCATTTTTAGTACTTGCCTCTCGTGATATTAAAAAACGTTATCTTTCGCCTGAATAAGATTTAGTATCAAAAGCTATACTTTTTAAGTTAGAAAAATTAAAAAACATGCGTTAGAAAACGTTGATAGTTTATGCGTCAAAAAATACTCAGGAAATGTGCTCTTTTCCAGTGTGGTGTATTCATTTACCGAAAAACAGAAGTTTGGGTTTATGAAATAATGTTACAAATAAGCACAGATGTGATATAATCAATATATCGATTACCGACGGCTCTTGCATAGTTCGCAAGGCAAGCTAAGAGTAACCAAGAATAAGAGTTAAGAATAGAAGATAGGGATATTTAATTTATCAAAGAGGGGCAACGTCTCGATCATCATCATAAATTAATATAATGTAGCGAGCACGAGCGTGTTTGTGTGCGATCGGGCATACGTGTGTGTGAGAGGCTTATCGATTCGCCGACTAGCCGCGGGCGCCTTTCTTCATGTGCGGCGTATTTGTAAATGTGTGTGTCGAATCTGCTTTCTGGGAAAGCAATTAAACAGTTCAAAGAAAAAGAAACTTTTCCGGACGACTCGAGAAGGTTCCCCAAGGTAAACAAAAGAGTATTTAAAGGAAGAGACGATCGCCGAGAGCAGAGTAGAAATAAATTGACCGTTGCAGAAGTGAATCAAGAAATAAATAGTACAGTGAATAGTGACAGTAGTGTAAATAAATAGAATAATTACCTAAGTTCAGTAATAATTTAATAGTGTATTTAAGTTCAATAATAATAATCAATGTAAATAAATAGTTTTCGTCTTAGAAGTTAAATTTTGTTAAGCCCACGAACATCACAATAAGTACAATAAATGCAATTTAAAGCTTTTGAAGGGTGTTACGCTTAGTTTAAGAGATTTTGAGAGTTCCGTTACTTTAGGACAGTTTCTAATATTTACCTTTATTAATTTCGTCATTTATATTTTGATTAATCATCCTCTCCAAGGTTTTCCAACATTGGGCCACCCGCGCCTGAACAGCTTCGCTGAGTTGCGCTCTTCCGCCGCTTTTTTTCGGTGGCGGAGGTGCGTGTTTTGTGATCGGCGCTTTCTGGGCTTCTCTAGCTAATCTTTCCAGCTCCAATTCTGCTTGTTGTCGATTGTAATCCGTTAGATAGTCATCGTATATGATCCATTGTAAAACGTTTGAAGAAAAGTTCTCTTTTGGTGGCGGAATGGTTTGAGTTTCTTGTGACTAGGCATTTGGTAATGAAATGAGTTGATTTCATGGGTGAAGAGTTCTGTTATGGTAGGAAAAAGTTTTTCGATTTGTCAGGCAATTAAATTAAAGTGAGAAAGTAGACATATGCCAGACGATGAAAAGTAAAGTTAAAAGAAAAAATGTATAGATGTACACGGTACCGACAAAACCCGATTTCAGGTTGAACTACTTTTACCAAGGCTACATTTCTTTTTGTCCAAGAAGGAGTTTTTTGAGAACTGATTAATTTTATATTTATTTCAAAAAACTGTGTTGAATTGAATGCGCCAAAATAATTTGAGTTTAGAAATAATTGAGTACACTTTTAATGTTCTACAACTATATTAAAGTAGCCAGTTTGTTGTCTCCGTATATACCGCAATTATTTTTTTAAAGATATCCTAGTTGCATAGCATCTAGAATTTTTATTTTATATTGCTAGTTAACGGCATATTAGAAACAGAAACACGAATAAAAAGGGGCCGAGATAGATCTACATTAGATTGCTGTTTACATCAATCGGATGTTATAATTTTAGGCAAATACGAATATTGGCTTGGCATAGAAAAGCCAAAAGCTTGGAAGTATATGTCCAATCAATCATCGGACTGACGGCTCTATAATGATGGTGTTTATGATGATGATTGTTAGTGATAGCCGAGATGCTATATTATAACTAAGAGGTTTGATTAACATTATTTACAAAAAATAAGGTGATAATATGACTTTAAATGAGTTTAATTTATGTCTTGATAAAAAAATTTGATTGAAGGAATTGGAAGATATTATGAGGATGTACTTTAAAGGGACGCAAGAGGAAATCATAAGGGTCTAATGGGAAGTCAATTTCGAAAACGGTTAAACAATATGTGAAAATGGGAGAGTTCACAACTAAACTAGAATATCAAAAGTAAAATTCAAGGACATCCTTTTAAAAATGAACGATTTGTTTACAAAGCTTTCACGATAATTTAGAACGTTAGTGTAGCAAAACTGCCAAGTTTATACGTACTCGCGTTGGAAGATTGTACGTTTGAGCAGCTCTGTCACTATAATTAAATTGGTTTGTTAGTTTTTTCGGTTTGGACGGTTTTCCTTCTTCGTCGTCTTCAGCGTCCCCTTTAGCTTCTGCTTCTGCAGGTGGCGCTGCTTCTGCTGGTTGCCCTTCTTCTCCTCCTTCTGCGCCCTCTTCACCTTTTTCTCCTTCTTCGTCTTCAGGTTTTGCTTCGGCTGGCACTTCTGCTGGTTTCGGTTCTCCTTCTTCCAGTTTTTGTTCTCCCTCTTCCACCTCTACTTCTTCTTTTTCCTCTTCATCTTCAGCGGCTGCCGAAGAAAGGAACATGCTAAGTTCGTACAACTTTGCTTACATTTTCTTATTTCTTACGCAAGCCTGTATCTCCTGCCAACTGAGCTAGCCCTTCCGGAGAAAGGCGGTGCATTAGGGTTCCTTTTATATCGAGAGCCACAACATAGTTGCTGGGTGGATGTAATGGTATAAAACTTCCTTCTGCAAAGCTCCATTCAACTAATCCATCAGGTTTTAGAGGATTGTGAGTCAAGAGGATTCGAGCATGAGGTTCTTTCATTTCCTTTGGAATTTATCAACGTTATTATAATTTCTATTCTTTTATACACAATTTTCGGAACGAATTATGCATTATTTTGTTTAATTTTTGATTCTTTGCATTTAGGGTTGAAAGTTAAGGACTGAACTAAGTTTTTTCTTTGAAATGACTCAAAATGTACAATAAAAAATTGGGGGAAGGTTCCTTCTTCCACAGTAATCTAAATTATTCTACCTGACCTTACTTAAAACACAAACTAATACAGCTTTTACCTAACTTATAGGTTAGATAGGGTAGGCTATGGGTCTGGGGGGCTGTTCCTACCTCCTTTTATAGGTGAGACTCCAAAATGCTCCAAATATAGTATTTGTTGCCATAGTTTTGTTTTTTTTGAAGAACTTTTTCAAATAAAAAATTATGCTTTCGAAAATAGCGTAATACGGAATTAAGATTTACTTTCACAAATTTTCATAGTCTTAATTACGATTTATTTTGATAAATAATTTATTAAAAAGGTATAGCGAATTGTTAATTTCACTACTAGCCATTGAATGTTTTGATCTTTCACCCTTAAAAAAATTCTGGTTACGTATCTGAAACCTTACTGAGATATATTAGCATATTATCAAATTTTAAAAGAAGTATGAGTTTGATGTGCAATAGTTATGTATATGAATATTGTGTATATGACTTTTACACTATAAATAAGTGTAGAACTAGAAGTAAAGTAATATTTCTAATAACAGATATCATAATTATAGAGCGATATGTTGAAGTGTAACCTCCACTTGCTTATTAATATCAATATTGTATTTAATTCATAAAGAATCGTTTTCGAAACCTACCCAATCAGCAAGTTCTAGTTGATCCTTTGGCTTAAGGAGCTGCTTAGACTTTTTCCACTCTTCGAATTCATCGTCCTGACTTTTCTTTTTCTGTTAATACAATTTACAAATAATTCTCAGGAATATATTCATCTAATTACAACACATTACCTTTGGCATTTCTTTTTATATTACACTAACTGTCGCAAATAAGGCGTCAAAGTATTTTAAAGGTATAAAAAAGAAATATGAAAATATTCTTTGACAATTCTAAATTTATTTGTTACCAAGGTAACCTTATGCTAGAATATTAATCAATCAATCAACTTTTTTGTTTGTAATGCATTTAATCTTTAAAGACTACTAACAACAATTGAGGTGTACCTAAATTGGCATTGTTAGCATAATTTTGGGTAAATACTGGGAAAAACTAAATAAAGTCCTTTGCGTAAGAAAATGTAATGTCCAAGCTATGCATCCTGCCAGGACTGTGTCATGCTCGTATTGATTTTCTTGTTCAGCTAAAATGGCTTCAGTTCCCACTTTTGATAACACGATGTCGACACCTGGTTGCAAGCAAATTATTTACAAGTCCCATTGAACGATTAATTTTTTAAGTGATTCCGAAACATTGAAGCAAAGTAAAAGATGTAAATTAATGCTATAAGTAGCTTTTAGTTAGTGTGATGAATATTGCTGTAGTTTGGTGTAGGTGTCGGTATATTACATAAAATTACTTTTCGAAATGGAAGATAGTGGTATTGATTCGGGAGACCATAATTTAGACATAGATTTAAAATCTAAGTCAACTAGAAATGAACGTTTAATATCGGTAAGTTAATAAATTATTTTATGCTTGTGATAAATTTTTGCGGAAAAAACTCCAACTGTTATTATTCAAACATTTTTGAAAGAAATAAGGATAATGTGATGGAAGTATATATACATATGTAGTCACATTTTAGTAGGTATAGTAATATATTTGGTTAAGTTTTTGTCATACAACATTACGATAGTTGAGTATAAATGTTGAACATGTTCAACTTAATTAATTGTTAAGTTCCAAATTTTAAAAAGTATGCTCTTGGTTTTGAATTTTTATGTTGTCATATGGTCGATTATTGACATTGGTATTTAGTTTTCAGGGTAATTTGCAAGATATACAAAATGATTTTTTAAAAGTATTTAAAAACAAAATGCAAATACTGTTTTGATTTGTTATTTTAAATGTAAAATTCAAAATAGATTTCCCTTTTGTATTTTAAGTACTGAATGCAAAATACGTATTTTCAAAACACCTTTTT